GGGGTTTCTCTGAAAAAGGAGGATTCTGATGTTTCCAATTGTATAAGTCACTGGTAGTAAAAGGGATATAAACATAGTGACCTTGCTCTGTCTCCCGAAGGGGCAAGAGAGGGGCCGAGCTAGTTCCCTCAGCGGGGACCTCGCCAGGTCCATACACAGCCCCAGCTCACATGTGTGGGGGAGAAGTCACAGAGTCTGGGGACTGGGGCCCCTCAGGGAGAGGAGGATAGAGGTAGGAGCCAAAGGTTTCTCTGAAAAGGGAGGAAGGAAAGGATTTTGGGGTCTACAGTGGGACCCATTTGAAGGTGGAGGATTCCACATAGGGCGGAGGCCCTCCGAAGGGGTCTAGGGTGTCAGGTTCCTGTGAGAGTACTGGCTTGGGAGCCCGGGTCTTAAGTTCCCGGGGTCCTTTTGGGGCAGCGACTAAAATGTGAGTGTCTGTTTGAAGGGAACAGCGCTGCAGCCAAGCTGGAGGTTCCTCACAAGCCTGAACCCAGATGTCTATGTAGGGAAATTGGTCTGGGTGGCCAGGGCAACCGGTGATCTTGCCCCAAACTGCCTGGCAAATACTGAGGTCAAAAGTCCCTTTGGCTGGCCATCCCACCCTGAAGGCTGGCCATTCCAGTTGGCACAGGGAGCGGAGTCTTTTGCGAGAAAATTTTACCCCATATTCATCTTCTTGTCCTGGAGAAAAAGCCAATTTAAAATTAGTGAGAAAGTAGTCAAGCAGAGAGGACCTGGTAGAACAGGTTCCTCCCATTTCTCTGCTCCTGATAAGGATTAGAAAAAAAATGTAAAATCAAACACACAATAGATACAACACTAACATACAAAAGACAAGACGAACGGGTGCCACGATAAAATGAAACTAAATCTTCCCTTGTTCCTCGTCAGGAACCTCGGGGTCAGGGGAGGCTTCCTGACTCGTCAGCCACCTCACTCCTGACTTAACAAACAGTTGCAACCGGCTGAAAGCTTACCTCCGGAGGTTTTCTGAGGTCGGTACCCGAGAGTCTCCTGCTGGATCCCACCACGGAGTCTCGGCTAAACCGGAGGTTCCTACCCGGGGATCTTGCTGGGGCCTCCAAAATGTAAGACCGTAGGCCTCACCAAACGCTCTGAGGAGCTGACTACAGTGAAGATCACCCAGGAGGGAACACACCAGACAAGTTGTGAAAGTAAAACAGACCTTTATTAGTCTGGCCAGACGGCACCCTCAAGCACCAAGCTTAGAGGGGCGACCGGCTCAGGGACTGAGGTCTTTATAGGGGTCGCAAGAGGGAACTTTGCAAGCAAAAGTACAGAAGCGAGATGTTGGTGGTTGGGGTAGTGTAGCAACCAATCTTTACATAACAGGCATAAGGCTAACTTGCGGTTTCCTTGGAACAGCAACAAGCACATTCTGGGAACTCTACGTCCCCATGGTGAAGTGTAACAGAAACAGACAAGATGGGGCCTTATTACAAAATGGAGTAACTTTTGTTCAGTCTCACAGCCGGAGTGGAGTCGGGGTTGAGGGACAGCTGGAGGAGATGGTGAACGGTGCTGGTTGCTGGGTTCACACCTCTGACAGTCATTTTTTTTATTGGTTGATTGCATTTAGTTTTCCTCTAAGTTCTGTCCCTTGCTTTCTTTAGGTCTTTCTATGCTTCTGCCCTCTGCGTATTGGTACTGTGGTAGGAGGCAAGGGTGTTAAACTGAAGAGGCAGGTGGTCTCTCCAGGACAGCAACCCAGGCTTTGGAGCTCAACCACTGGGCACACAGAAGCTGATCAGTAAATGGCAGTCCCTTCCCCTTCCCCTAAAAAGGTCTTGGAGCAAGATTTGCGCCAAAAGGAAGTATATCACGGCAGGACAGTTTAATCTTGAAGAGAAGCAGCGTACATTAAGGAAAAAAGGAAAGAAAAAAAAAGATGTTAACAATGTTGTCTCAGCTCCCTCTGTCTGTGTCTCTGTCTCTCACGCACATGCACACACCAGGATAAAAATGTACTCTCCTTTCTCCATTATTCTTGGTCTTTATCCCTAAAATGTAGACATTTAATAGTGAGGTTCTCCCCTTGACCTCTTCGCTACTCATCCCCACTTCAACCAACATAAATACTACATGATTCCAAATCCACATCCCATTTCTATCTGCATGATCTCTGCTTAGCTTTTGATCTGTATTTCCGGTCAGCAGTTGGATATATTTGCATGTGTGTGGTCCTGTGGCACTCAAATTTATATGGTCTTTTATAATCCTGGCAATAATTTGTGCAGTGCCCCCTGGCTGAGTGGCTCAGCATTGTAAACTACATATCAAAAGGTAATTGCAGGGCCAGGGATTTAGCTCAGTGGTACAGCTGTCTGCCCCACAAGCACAAGGTCCCGAGTTTGATCCCCAGTACCAAAAAAAAAAAAAAAAAGGTAATTGCAAAGTATGATTACCATTCTTTCCCTTCAACCCTATAGGAATTATATGTTTTTAGTTGCATCAATTTGCTCACCTTTACTTAGTCAAAGATGCCTATCTTTACCACCCCTTTGAAATTTGCAACGTTCTCAGTTATGATCCCATTAGCCTGCTCTGTTTTTGTATCACCTTCTAACCTACTATCTAATTTATTGTTTATTGTGTTATTGTTTACTGTCCCTCTTCCCTTAATGAAATGTAAGCTCCAAGAGGACAGATTTCTCTGTGCCTAGAACATTGTCACTTGGAAAGCATTCAAAATGTTTGCTGTTGGGAGCAATGCTACATAATTCTAGGGATAAATCATTTGGTTAGCCTAGTTCTCTTGCCTACAGCCCAGCTACAGAATAACTCCAGTTTGGCCTCCGGTCACAACTGAGACTTCAGTGATCCAGTGATGCTGTGATTCTCCAGGACAAGA